TGGGGTCTGTAAACTTCAAAGGCTACTAAAATAAATTTATGAAATCTCTAAACAAACTAGTCTTTTCTTGGGTGCTTCGGTGGTTTAGCAATACCATATATCCTTTATACAATAAACATCACAACATAAACATACAGAAGAGGCACCGTGGAGTGGGCGGTGGAACAACCATATTTTTGAATAAATTGTGCTGCCAATAAAAAATATAGCAAGCTCAAACAAAAAATGCACACAAAGCACATAAATTGGCTTTCTGTCGCCAAGGCAGCAACTTATTCGTCGGGAGTTCCTGATCCAGAACCACCGGAACCAAATGCACCACCACCATCACCATCAATTCCCTGGCAAAATGGACAAAAAAAGGAACCCACTGGCTGCGGGAATAAATAAAATGACTGCAACTGGTTCTGACTGAAACCGAAACAGAAAGCAAACAAATAGGAGATACTTTTCCGGCCATGGTTAGAGAACAGTAAGAGGCACTAAAAATAAAATGCTTTTAAAGATTTAAGACAATGTTTTAAGGCTGACCTTAATGGAGAAGAATAACGTTTATAAAATATAGTATATATTTAAGCTCACCAGCTATGTTTTTGAAATTGTTGTTACAAAATAGGCCAGCTTTTCTAGGCCCAAAAACAGCCATATGTATCTCTTTGTAAAACAGTACCCACATCTATACAATTTTTTCAAGTGTACCATTTAAATGAAGCACATTTCACGCGATGCCTTTGTGTTTCTGCTGCTTCAATGCAGCTCTCAATGGAAATTAGCACACTTTTCACATTTTCACTTTGAGTCGCTGGCTGATGCTGGCGATTGCAGTTTTTAATCCATTTTCGCTCCCTTTGCCGGGCTTCGCAAATTCAAAAGTTCGGAAGCTGTTAATAATGTCGACAGGCGTACGACACAAGTATTTCATTAGGGAAACGGCTTCCTGCCCATCCGTGCTGCTCCCGTATCCCAGATCTCGACTTGGCGCGTCCGCGGACGCGTAGAGCAGCGTTTCCTCTAATGTTCAATTTGGCTTTTATACGGGGTTGGAGAGCGACGAGACTTTTCGTGGAGTGTTCGAAATGCTCTCGCGTGTCGTGATATCCATTCAAAAGCAATTACACAAGAGCTACCAGTACCAATGGCAAATGAAAGAAAAACTAATTAAATCCTTTGTCCAACATTGTGTTGTGCAAAAAGGATTGAGTGAAATACGATTCCGCACATAAAAAGATCGCTGTGACAACTATTTAGTGTCATTTGCATTCCTTAAATGCAAATCAAAGTATCTATTCCGCTACCGGGTCTTCGTCATCTGCATTGCGGAGCGAAGCGAAATCCGCTTAGGTTTTTATTTTATGTTAATGCGATCGAATCAGTGCGCTTTCGATTTCAGCATAAATGGCGCATCAGCAACATCCATCTTGATGTATGGATGTTTCTGTACGTTTGTACTGTAAGTGTGGGATTACCGATGAACAATGCCAAAGGACAAGGACTTCTGGGGGGCAAGCGAACAGGCAAACGACGACGGATGGCAGTCATAAATTTTTCACTGGCTTGAAGCCCATTAGGGTAAAGCGCCGGCCAGTGAGTAGTACGAGTATGTCTCAGGGTCGGGCAGGCAGGTGCATTCTCCACCTGAACTGCATTGATTTATGCCAATCACGAATAACTCAGCGGTAGCGGTGGCAGTGTCTACTGATGCTGCTACTCTGCCCTGATGGCGATGCTGATGCTGTCATAATGGCAGCAATTTGAGGGTTAAATTGGATATGCTTCAAGCGTTGACAAAGTCGGTCACGTTCTACCTTTTTCCCTATTTTTCTCTTTGGCCTGTTAACTTTCGCACATAATTGACGTTTCATTAGCATCGTCATCCTTTGTCTGCTTAAAGGACGTTTAAATTTGCTTTGTAAATTTGCAGCCCCCCACTAGCCTCCTTCGAACTTGATACCTTGGCAATTATAAAGGTCAATCGAATAAGGATGATGATGATGGCACTCATAAAAACTTAAATTTGCGCACACACTCGCCGGCACACACTGTTCGTTTTTGGGGGAAACGAAAATCGAACTTGTGAACTTTCTAAGCACCCACACACTCAACGGAATGGGAAAATTTCATAAATGAACAAGGATTCAACATCAATTTATGACATAATGATATTTGAGTGGGGCAAATTGCGTTAGCCCGGTATTTCTGTGGGGGAATCTACGTTCCTTTTTTTTCCGTTTCTTTCTTTGGGAGCTTGTGGGTATCTGCGGGTCACACCACCTTCTTTGTATTCCAGTCCCCCGATTTGGCTTCATTTTATGTAAATTATGGGATTATGTTGTGATTTAGAATGGGCCACTATTTGCGGCTTAAGGAAATCATATTAGAGGTGGATAAGGTGTTTATGTCCTGCGAACAGTTTGCGACGGAAAAATACACTCACCCTGTTTTGCATTCTTCGCTCTTCCCTCTCTGGGTGATTAATAGTCGAAAAACTTGTTTTCTAATTATTTAACACCCAAAAACTACGACAATTAATTATGTGGCTGAACAATGAAGCCCCTAAAGGACATTTTGTGGGCGACGAGCGCACACACCGACACACTCGCGTCCGTACGCACATAAAAGCTTACAACAATTGCTACTACAACAATAAATTTCATTGTGCAACTCACCCACTCACACGAGCACAGACACACACACACGCATAAAGACATTCAACATTCCCATTGCGAATTTTGTATAGAATATACACTTTTTTTGGCTCTAGCTTTTTGGTTGCCAAATGAAATTGTTGTGAAATGCACCTAAAGAAAAACCATAGTTTGGTAAATAAAAATCAAATCTGAACAGATTTTTATTAATTTCGAATTAAATCGAATACAGTATAAAAAGTAAACAATTAACTGGTTCGACGCCCAATTAATAAATACCAATAGGGGACTGATTGAAAGTCAAAAATAAACCTGCGACGAGAGGTAATTTCATCCTAAAAAACATTGCGGAAGATTAATAAAATAAATAAGGGCAAATTGAGCGTACAAATTACACTTAATAGGCTCAACACCCCGATTTCCAATGCAAAGCCATGGTAAGACTTGTTTAATTTTTGCATTCCAACATTTCGCAAAGCTTTTACCGCCCTGCCCCGACACCCATACACACATGTCTGCCATTGCAATTGCATTGCAGTTGGGTTAATTGTTTTTTAGGCACGCAGAAATGCAGAAATGCACACAGAGCGGCGAGAGAGAAAAGTGGAAAGAATCATTTAATGGCATCGCACATTCATTTGAAACTTTTTAATTAAACAGAATACTGTGACAAATTATTTTAACGAGCTTTTCGCATTGCAAATTGAAAACGAGACCGGCTTTAAAGACTCAGACTCGAATGTCAACCGCCCAAAGCCGCCTAAAGCCAGTAAGCGCTTAAGAACCCAGCATCGCGGATAGCCATCTACAAAAAAAGAAAAAAAATAAATAAAGCAACAAAGGCTCGCCAAGGGAGCCGCCCAAGAAATCTGCTTAAAACAATTATTTCTGAATAATTGGCTTTAATTGCTGCCAGCAGCTTCAGCCTCGACAACATCGTCGAGGAAACTTATGCCCGAGAGTGTAGGTCATAATGGCATCTATCAGAGGGCGACCAGTGGTGGTGGGTGGTCGTCCCGGAAGCGGAAACAAGCAATTTTGCGGCAAAGTTAAGAGTGCCACAGACAAGGAAAACAAAAACGTTGCGATAAGAAGGCAAGGATGCCAGGCCCAAAGTGTGCAAGTTTTCATTCTCTTGCCAAAGTAACTCAACAAGTTCTTTTTCTTAGATATGGGTAATTTTATAATTAACCCACTTTGTTTAAAGATTATGCGGTGGGGTAGTTAGGAAGCCCTAAAGTGTTTACGGTTCGAAACTTAATTAAAAATGATTATGGAATTGAATAGAGTTCTAGTCTTTTGCTCAAAATAAAAACTCTCCATGTTTTTACAAGCTCTAAAACCCAGCTAATAGACCCATTTAAAATAGAGTAATCCCCTCAACTCTGTCAAACCACAGTTGTGTAAATAATGTTGTTAGGAAACCAAAAGTGTTGGGATCTGGTTTGTTTGCCGACTTTTCGAAATAATGAAGGCGGAACAAATGCGAAAAAGTCTATGGCCCGCCCTAATGACTGTGATCAACTGCTCGAGTACACCTCGCAGAACGGCCGGCAAGATTAATGACGAAATTAAAAAGCAAGCCAAACACTTGGATGTGTAGCGCGAGTGTGGGCCGAGCATTGCACTTAATTAAAAATGTTTGCCTAAATTATGTACAGACAATTAGAGAGGCAGCTGGGCGGCTGGATGGCTGGCTGACTTGCTGACTGGCTTACTGGCTGTCTGGCAGACAGGCCAGACAGGCATTTCCGCAATTTGCGGTTAGAATTTTCGTTGCCCCCTCAGCCAGAGAAAGTTCATTGTTGTCGAGAGTGAAACATGAGTCCTTCTGGCGTGGCTATTATGAGGCGGCAATCCGAGTGGAGGAGCCAGCAAGTTCTTAAGTGGCCACAGCTTCATACATTCCCTTTTTTTGTCCTTCGGCCTGGCTAATTAATTGCGCAACCAATTGCACTCCTAATGGCAGCCGCATTGTTGTGGCATGCCCCCGTTGCGTATACTTAATGCGCGAAATTATTTCACGCTCACTTACAAGTGTCACAATTTCGAGCTCTGCGTCCTTGTGTCCTCCAAATGAGACCGCATAAATTTTGCAGCCCCGCCACAAATGCAATAATTGCGCATTTTGCAATTGCCACCGACCCTGGCGGAACGCGTGACAGGCACTTGGCCAAGAGAGGACTTGGCCTCTGGGCCAAAAAACATCGCGGTGATGCCAGGGTAAATATTTGTCCTTGTCATGCGTGTGTTTTGTTCATTTTTAGAGCAATGCAACCGAATTGTAATTAAGCGAATATCAGTTCTGTCAGACAGCCCCTGGACCACCGATCCAAGTTAAATGCCATATTGGAATAAGGTCGTAGAATAATTTATTGAGGTTGGTTCAGTTTATTCTACTTTGTCTTGCAGCACTGATCCTTGGGGCCATTCTTGCAGACGCACTTGCAGTCCTGACTGCAGGCGCAGTTGTCTCCGCACTTGGTGTCCGTGCACTTACAGTCTGAAGGGGATTTTAAATTTGTTCGTTAATTTACCTATACTTTTTATAATTTTTTTTCAACTCACTAGAACCACAACCTTTGCAAACCATTGTAAAAGTACTTCCTTTAATGTATTCGGTTGATACTCTTCGAAAGCTTGAAACTTGTTTATAGAGATTTTTGTTGGGGTCTTTGGTATTTATAGGTCTTTGGTTGGCTTGACCACCAGCAGAGTGCCGGGTGGTGTTTGCACTCCGTTTATGGGAGAAGCAAAAAACGTGCGCAAAATAAACAATAATTACATGTTGCATTCAACACGCTATCTATTCAGCTTTATCAGGCGGTGGAGCAATCTTATTGTCTTTGAATGATAAGATAATAAATGGAACCTATAACACTGATAAAACAGTAATATTATAACAACAAAACCTTTAAAAAAAATATGGTTAAATCAGTAGAAAGCGAACTTAGCTCTTGACTTGATTTAAAATTGAAAAAAATGACGCCTTAAGTTAAATATTTATTTTAGTGTATATTGAATATATATTATACTATATTCAACATATATTAAATAATATCATAAAAGCTGGCCTTTCATATACTATTTAGGCTTCTAATGTTTATTAATGAATTAATTCGGTTACACAATTCCCAAACACCTTCCCAATTCCCATTCTCAAACACCTCCTAAGATTGTAAAGAACACAAAAGTCCTTTGGACTAACGTTACTAGCTACTTGCTATGCGCACTTGACGGCCAAGGGGTTTAAGACTGGAATTACCGCAAATTGCAAAAGTTTTTAATTGTTTATCTCTCTCAAGTACCCCCCTTGCCGCTTGGCCCCTTTCCGTCTGGGGCTCTGGGTCTCAGGCGAAACATTAGCGCAACATGGCATGGAGGTCCTCGCACCGATGTTGTCCTTGTCGCAATCAGCAAACAAAAATCTCAACTGGCGGATGCAGAAATTAGTCCAGCCCCAGTGGCACCCACGAGCTTTCTAGATTTTCTAGCTTTCCTAGCCAGCAGCAGTTACAGGATGAGGTCAAATTATTAATTTAATATGCATCCGTGCCTCCTCGGACTCCGGACTCTGGACTTTTGGACTTTTTCGAGTCGCTTCCGTTTCCGTTTGCCGCAGCCACAGCCGCAGCCCAGCCGGCAATTTGTTTTTGACCCACTGACACGGGATGGCCACCATTCTGGCCAGGCTTTGCTTTTTGCCTGATTAACGTTTAAACTCATTAAGATAACGAAATTTTTGGCGCTCTGCTGAATTTTACTTTTGAGCAGCTGCCACGGGGGAAAATGTCGAGTTGAGTTTTTGGATTTTTTGTTTTCTTGTTTTTGGGTTCAAAGGTCAGCAAGTTGGAAATCTGTTGCCATTGTTTTGCAGGCCTTCTTGCCGCGTGGCTTGTAATTGGTTTGTAAACAATTTCGTCGGTGCTTTGACAATTTGGTTGGCCATTTTATTTGGGGCAGCTAATTGCAAACTTTCCTCTTCCAGCTTGAAGCTTCTTATCAAAATTGAAGCTGCGCGCATTATGCTCTCTATGTTCACGCTCAATTAGGGCTTGTGGCCTGGACTCCTGCTGGTTCTGGCCCTGATTCGGTTGGCGATTCTGGTTACGGCCGCCTCTGTTTCTATTTGCCCGGAATGGCTATGCGAGCATCCGGGTCGGGGCCCGGTCGAGGCCTGTTTACCCGCCAATCAATTCAATTTGCGACTTGTTTGCGCCCCGGCATCGTTCGCATTTCAGCTTTATTTTTGTGCTGAGGTTTTCGGGGTGTGAGTTTTGGGCTCGTCCTCTGGTTTGGGTTTGGGTTTTGAGTTGGGTTTGTCGAAGGGCTTCCCTTCGCCCTTCGAATCAGTTTCCGTCAATGGCCGCCCCAGGCTACGTTCTCCCTTATTAAATGAGCAAATATTTTCACTGGCATATTAGATAAATGCTATGATTATGGTTATGGCCTGTTCAATGGCATAATAATGCGGGAAAAGCTTCATGCCATCGCGAGGAAGAGGAAAAGTGAAGCAGATTATTTTCGAAGTTTATTGCGAAAATAGAGATTATATTGGGATGATTGAGTTTAGGAGTAACTACCTACTATGAAATTTACTGAGTATCAATCAATTAGGTCCCTCAGTTGCCTAATCTTTATTAAAACCTCTATCGTTTCGAAAATGTTTCGCTTTTTTTAAGCCTTATACTCTTACATTTCCCATCCTTTTGTCTTCGTCACTTCCTCTTTAACTCTGAAAGTTGTCAGAAAAGCCTCCTTTCCCGTTGGTTCATCACCTCAAAGGACACCAATTAGCATAATCCTACCCAAAGAGAAGAGATCAAGCTCTGGTTGAGAATCTCTCGAAATGGGAAAAGGTAAAAAGTGGCTTCAATAATCCTTCAAAAAATAGGATATTATTGGTAACCTCAACACACTGCCACTCTTTAAAAATGTCTGGAAGCAAAATTTTCACAATTGTCTTATTCCGGCATGACATGATTTTTTCCACTTTATTTTTTAACAAATTTCGTTAGCGGTAGTGACGCCTTGGGGCTTTCGACACTTGCTGGCCAGTACATGTCAAATCCCATTCAAAAATTTTCCAACTGCAGTAAAACAATTTTTGACTACGCACCCTTGGGCAGCTGGACTCCAACTCTGTACTTTGGACTCCCGACTCCGGACTTTGGATGCAGGACCGGCGACCACGTCATGTGGCCGAACAACCGAAGAAACAGCAACAGGGCAAGGGGTACCCCAACGCAAAAGCAAAAAAAAAAGAGAGAAAAAAACGTCCTGGAACAAGCCATGAACCAAATGCTGTCCTGGTTCTGGATCTGCCTGCGTTGCGGCTGCTGTGGTTGCAGTTCATGGGGCAGGCGGATGGCGGCACAGCGGAATGGAATGGCCCAAAAACCCAAAACGAGGTGGAGGCTGGAATCAGGCCTAGGCCGAGGGAAACGGTCCCAAAAATGTTCTGCAATATGCGTCGAGTTGGAAAATTCATCATAAATTCCATGCGACAACATGGGAGCCAAACTTTTCATATGCTCTTCAAAATGCCGCACTGCCCCATGTCCCAAGCAGGCATCAGTCCGTCAGTCCATCCGCCCGACCGTCCATCCCTTCCATCCATCCACCCATTTCATCCGATTCCGTCCAAACAGTCTTCCCAACAGCTGCTGGCGATTTTTATTTATACATATTCCGTACGTACGAGTACGTTAGGCAGACTGCTGTTGCAGAATCTCGACACGCCGAAGTGTGTTAAATGCATATTTGCAAAGTTTAAATTCCATAACCGAATGACGACAATTGGCAACAGCTGGACTAGTAAATTTTATATTTAACATCCTCGCCCCGACCAGGCCGGCGCCTCCTTGGTCCTGTAACCCTATTGTTGAAACGAATTTCGATTTGCATAAATGTCAGTCGGATAACCCTGCTAAGCTGGCATGTAGCAAATAACTTGGGCACTGCAAGAAACTGTGCAGATACCCTATGCTACTTTTACCCTAAAAAACATGGTACGCTTTGTGTTTTTTTCTCTGTCCTGTGGTTTGCCTTTTTTATCGACCTCAAGTTTAACAGCTCCCGCTCCGCAATTATAACTATCTTCGCTGAGACGAGTTGATAGAGGGTTAAGCTTTTACGACTGGTTTTATGACAATTCCAGCAGCCCTTATGCTCCGCCATTATGTCGCCTTATCCCTTTAAAGCCGGCAATTGCCGTCGTTCGTGTCGTCAATTGAAATTGCTTGGCATCAGTGGAAGCTGCATTACCCGCTGACGCTCCCCATATTCATCACACACTCCCCCCCACACCACCACCCTGATGAACGCACAAAAGTTTGTCAATCTGCCAGCAAATGACATGCATCGACGCCAACGACGAGTCCTTGAAGGGGCAGGGGCGTCGGAGGACGGGTGGGTGTCGCTAAAAGTATGCAACACTTGACGCGCATTGCACGAAGCTGGCGTGCCAATGTCACAATTATTTAGACAGGCCCCGCGCCCCACTCTGGCCTTACAGGACAGCTTATGAGACCGTCTTCTACGAAGGGATGAAGGTGAAATCAGCACTTAAAGATGCAGTATAGTATTAACCAAAAGAGTATAGTAGTAACTTTCCTATTACTTGTATTTTATTAACACCAATACAACAAAGAAATGTTATTTAATCGCAAAACATCTCGAATCTTTAGGTAAATTGGTTAACAAAATCATATCAGGGTATTATTTTCTTACATGTGATCAATTAGGAGCCAGAATTTCTCTGAGTGATACCATCATATCCGTTGCAACTGCTGCAAACTTCACATGCCGGCTCACAATGAGAGGTGAGAACTTGACGGAAATCACTAGAGCAACTTTTTTAATGGAATCAAATCAAATTGTTCGGAAGCTGTAAAAAGCGATTGCACGGAAGCATTTTGAGTTGTTGACACCGGGCGGCGCCGCCACCGCCAAACTCCGACAACGGCATCGACAACGACAACGAGAGTCATCGAGGTGCAAAAAGCGACACCAGAAAACTTGCCAAAGTAACGCAAACTGAAAATTCCGAAAAAAAAAGGATGGGGGCGTGGGCGATTGGGGAGGAATCATAAGTACACACTTGAGGGGGAGCTTGGGAACATCGTCAATAGAGCGTCAAGTGTGCGCTTGTCCACGCCCATTTAAAGCTCAGCCACCAAGCGAAGCCAAATTTGGTCACAGTGCACTCGAAAAAATAATCACCTTTGTCCAAGAAATCAAGTATTTAAAAGAAAAATCATTAAGCATTAAATTCTACACCTTAAAAATAAATAAAAAACACATGAATTTTACAAATGTGTGGAGAATATAAAATAAAATATATTAGTTTATATTGATTATGAAGAAAATTTAATCTTTATATTAAAAGCCTATGCCATCTCCGAGTAACCAAGCATTTCTCCCAGTCCATACAGCCATATAATTGGCCAAATGACAATGTGCACAAGGTGCAAGAAGTTTCCACCGAAATGTAGACCAGGCGGAAAAAATGCAGAAACCAAGGGATCCGAAGAAGGCAGAACAGAGCAAAGTTCAAAGTGCAATCGTTCGTTTTTTGGTTATATGGCGCATAAGTTTCAGGCGCGCGCTGCACTTGCAAAGTTGCAAAGGCCATAAAAATCGTCCATAAAGCGGCAGTCTCCTGGCTT